GCATGCAGAGCACGCAGGGCCACAAACCAAGAATTTGCAGTTTGGCAGGTTGCCTTGGTGGCCAAGCAAGGCTGGAATTCTTGGAGTCGGTTTTCGGGAAGAAATTCCCGTCGTCAAGGGGTTAATTACAGGTACAATGGTTTGCACAGGCATAGCAGGCCATGCACATGTACAAGTAGATATTACCTGTACATGTAGTTATGAGGCAAGCTGACACGAACACTGATGCGCAAGACTCAAAAGCATGGACAGTTAAAGTTAAACACACTGAAATTGGGTGCAAATTGGGAGCCTAGCTGCTGGAATGGCTTACAGTACAGTACATGTAAAGTAATTGCCTGTGGCAGTTTAAGTAATACGAGCTTGTAAAATGCACAAGGTACGTATTAGTACACGCACATGTACTGATACATGTGTGTCCATGCACTAGACCTCAAACTGCTGCTCAGCTGAACAAGCAACTGCATGTGCAGCCAGTAATTTTTCCAGACAAGAGAGGGCGCAATAACATATCAATGGTCTCAATACATGCACTAGATGGATTGCCTACCAATATAATTGTAACGCAGTGCAGCATCAATACCAGTTTTTGGGGATTTTAAGTGTGCCATAGTTGGTTCCCGGCTGTTAGCTATGTCTGTTTGTATCATTGTTTCAGTTTACCAGCTAAGCCTAGCAGCCCCTATAAAAAGGTGCAGCAGGTGTGACTCGCCCTCTTTTCCCGCCTGGTGGTCGACCGGAGCAGACCAGTAATTTTTATATTCCTGACCGTGACCTATTTGAGCGTAAGCGCGGGAAAGAAGTACTGTTTCAAGTATAAGTGTGGCATATCAATGTAAATAATCAAGACGTAAATCACCCTACTGATCGCTAATCACATTGTTGTACTGAAAATTAGTCAATTTTTATGACTGTCGATTTTGAATCAAAGAATCAGTAATTCACACTCATTGTAATTTCTTAACGTTGCTACACTGATACTGTATATTGGTGAAGTGTCTTTGTGAGGCGCATGTTGATGTGAATAAATAAGTGTGGTCCTGTATGAATTGTATTTGCCCCGTTGTTATTGTCCCCGTTCATCGAGGCTGAAACTGACCCCTGGGTGTGGTTGCCACAAGTGGTGTGCTGCAGGCCAGGCGGTAAACTGCCGCCAAAATGGATCGGCGTCACTAGCCTTCCAAAGCTAGACAAAACGTATGTCCTCCCAATTCGAAAACTGAACATTTTTTAACTTCTCTCCCAGGGCCCTTTGGGAGAACAGTCCAATTTAAACAAGTCAATGAAACAAAACCTGAGTATGAACATAACACTACTGCAGTAATGGCCAGGACTATTTCCTGTCATGGGATTGGTCTATGGACACTCGTGATGTACAGTACGTATATATATGATGACAGTAAAGTTAAGTTGTTATTGGTCATTGGACATGCCCATACAAGTAGGTTTGTACAGAGAAGATCACATTTTTGGTGGGTATTAAACATTCGCCCAGCCAATTAAGGAGGCGGACTGCTACAGATATCTGGCCCCCCCACAACAGTCACTTCTGTTTCCAGTTTATAAATGCAACCATGCACAGTGTCGTTGGTCATGCAATATCCCCCAAAAATGAGATCGTTGTTGTAAACTATGGGAAAGTCCTATGCCCAGCATGAAACTACCTTTGACTTACTGTCATATGTGTATGTCAGTTTACCACCTTACTCTTTTGACAGACAGTATCTTTCTTTACGCAGGTGCTGTCCATTACTGCGAAAATTCTCCACACAATTAACCTAACTGAGATACCCGTATTGGTGACTGACTTACCAGCATATTCCTGGACAGGTCCGTCATATAAAGCTTTTGGACAACTTTCTGCAAAGGAAATACCACAAAATTGATTCAAGAGAAAATAGAGTGAACATTGAAAAGAAATTTTCCATATCTGTGGTCAGTGCAGATGTCCTGTGCAAACTACTCCAAGCGGGAGCAACAAAGGAACTGTTTGTGCATGTACGTGTACAGCAAACAACGGTCCTTTGGTGTGAGGTGAACACAGGTTTGTACTCGTACATGTAAGTGTTTTAAGCGGGACACCACAAACACGTGCGAGCAATTTCTATGTGAATACATGATGCTCGTGTGAGCGCTTGCGATGTGCATGAGCCCCGTGGACAAATTTCCCACTAACCTGTCTCTTCTTTGCTGGTGAGGATACATATCAACTCCAGGCAGATTGCTAACACCACAGTATGGGGGATCATACACTCCCGCACTGTAGCTGTGGGGACATACATTCGACATTTTGCCTATTTTGTGGGGACCGAAAACGTTGTGGGGACTCAGAAATGTCCCCACAACTCGGTTCAAATTTCCCTAACAAAAGAACTTGTCCCCTTAACGTGGTGAATGCCCACACACACACAGGCAATTGTGTATTTGCCTGCAACTGGGGACCCCCTATTGTTTCTCTTTTNAGGGTCCCCAATTGAATGCAGAAACAAACTCACACGCACACAAATTTCCCTAATGCGTTAAATACAGTAATACTCATCATCAAATTGTGAGTACTTCTATTCTTCTTCTATTGGAAAATCAAAACTGCGGTAAACTGAACAATTCAAACAGTGAGGGGGTGTTGTAACAGAATGTAACGGTGCACTTGCCTTGGAAATATGTTTTTCTATATGACCCCTTCCACATCCAAGGTCCAGAGCAACATCAAACCTCCTAGGAAAACAAATCAATATACATGTACATACAAATATGCATCTTTTTAAAAAAAAAAGTACTTGCAATTTACATGCACACTGTAGATGAGCTTTTCCCACATTGGCTTCAAACCCTCTGTGGACCAAGACTTTGAGAATTTAATTTGATGCAGTTGCATTTGACCAAATCAATCGATAAGAACCAATGATTTGTTTTACTACCAAATTACAGTTTTCCATTTGTCATTTATGACAATAAACAACAGATTGCTTAAGTGCATCACTTGATTTTTATCTTCACAAAAGTTTTAAGTGAATGCATCTTGGTGCAGGTCAAGTCCTTTGTTAAGTTTGTGCAATGTGGATTTTAATGTGAAATTCCAACCTTTGAAATACTTACCTAGTTATGTCTTTTAACCTATCTGCAACCCGGAAAGCTACCTGAGGTAAAAGAAGGAAAAACACCAGGTTATTTTCAAAAGGTCTGCCGACTTCTTGAACATCATCAGGTTGATGTAGCCTGTTCTTCACAAGCATCTAATATATGAACATATAAGGTACAATTTTGTGTACATGATGGCAAGCCTGATTCATGTACATTTAATCTACAAACCAACAGGCCTGTGTACATGTCATGCATATGTACGTTTTGCTGATGTCAAGCTTTATTCAGACGTTCACTTTCCAATGCAGTTTCAACTCTTGTCACCCAACCCGGGCCTTAATTTGAAAGTGCACATGTACACAAAGTGTGACATCATCAAAACATACTCGCACTGCAGGCCAATCAAAGCTGATTTCAGAAACTGTGATACAATCTCTATGGCATGCGCATACACACAGGAGAGGAATCCAACTAAGGCTGTAGACTGAGCAGTAACTGTCAGCTCAATAAAGGCCTATTGCGTCAAGTAAAATAATGACCTTCAATGGCAACTGACCCTATGAGGCTGTGACAAATTCTGACGTGAAAACAGTGGGCCTGATCTCGATCAGTGATCCTAAGGCTGGTTCGCACCATCCATCATGTCCATCAGGTGAGTTTTGGTGTCTGTAAACCAACGACAGATCACTCATCTTGATCCAGGTCCACGTGATATCGATCAGTGATCCTAAGGCTGGTTCGCACCATCCATCATGTCCATCAGGTGAGTTTTGGTGTTTGTAAACCAACGACAGATCACTTATCCTGATCCAGGTCAATGTGATCTCGATCAGTGATCCTAAGGCTGGTTCGCACCATCCATCATGTCCATCAGGTGAGTTTTGGTGTCTGTAAACCAACGACAGATCACTGATCCTGATCGAGATCCATGTGATCTCGATCAGTGATCCTAACGCTGGTTCGCACCATCCATCATGTCCATCAGGTGAGTTTTGGTGTCTGTAAACCAACGACAGATCATTGATCGTGATCCAGAACCATGTGATCTCGATCAGTGATCCTAACGCTGGTTCGCACCATCCATCATGTCCATCAGGTGAGTTTTGGTGTTTGTAAACCAACGACAGATCACTGATCCTGATCCAGGTCCATCTGTGTGAAACAAACATGGCCAGCATCTCTCATCATACTCCTGAACACATCACTATAAGTGCTGAAACATCAGCAGAAACATTAAGACACAAGCCTAAACACATTTATAAAGACAAGCACGATACAATTGTTCAACACCCCAGTAGCAACAGAAAAAGTGATCGGTGTCAAACTGCTAATAAGGTACAATGTACATGCAGAAGATGGATGGACTGCATTTCTTGAATGACTAGCCTACTGTAAGCATACAGTGTACTGTATGTAAATATGATTTAGTCTGCGGTAAAGTGTACATGTACTGAGCTAACATAGTCATGAATCCAGTTTGTATAACATAAATAACATATTCGCTTGCAAGTCACTGAAATCTCACCAACATGCAGCCCATCATTTGTGTCCTAAAGGCAAGATACCGGTATGACGTATACACAGCATGTTTGTATACATGCATATGACAATTCAGGTCACAGTGTTTCTCCAACCTATCATATCCGACAGGAAAGCTCACACTGATGAAAGGCTGTGTTGACTTCAGTTCAATTTTTGTAGATAGTCGAAAGGGTCAATAGTCTGAAGGTTCCAACTAGTCCCAAGGTTCTACATGTAGGCCTACATTCTAAACGTTTAATAGTCCAAAGGTTCAATAAGCTGAAAATTCATCAACGGTCAAAAGGTTAAATAATCTGAAGGTTCAGAAGTCGGAGGGTTCAGTAGTCTGATGGTACAACAGTCAAAAGGTTCAATAGACTGAAGGTTCCAAACAGTCCCAAGGATCTTCATTCCTAAGGTTCAATGGTCCAAATGTTCAATAATCTGAAGTTAATTAACAGTCAGGTTCAATAGGCTGAAAATTCATCAACAGTCAAAAGGTTCAATAAACTGAAGGTTCTGTAGTCTGATGGTGAAACGGTCAAAAGGTTCAATAGTCTGAAGGTTCCAAATACCGGATAGTCCCAAGGCTCTATATTCTGAAGGTTTAATAGTCACACGGTTCAATAATCTAAAGTTCAACAATCCGAAGTTCAACAATCTAAAGGTTCAATAGGCTGAAAGTTCATTAATGGCCAACAGGTTCAATAAACTGAAGGTTCCGTAATCTGAAGGTTCAGTAGTCTGAAGGTTCCGTAGTCTGAAGGTTCCGTAGTCTGAAGGTTCAGTAGTCTGAAGGTTCAATAGTCCAATGGTTCAACAGTCCACAGATACATGTACATGCATGTTTGCACAAAGGTTGGATAGTACAAAAGTTTTTAGCCCGAGGTTCAATGGTTCAATAATAGATTTAACCTAAATAGTCTGAAGGTTTGATGTTACGAATCGACAAGATGGTTCACTAATCCCAATCAACAAGGATCAAAATAAAATAGAATTATTTGAAAGGGAAAACAATTGCTAAATCCCATTTCGGACTTTTGAACACCAAGTGCCACTCAGACTCATGAAACTTCAGTTTGAGCCTTAAGACTGATTCATACTTAAGGTGAAAACAAACATAAGCGTGTGTACCACCGGTATTCACTTTGCGAATTCACAAAAGTTGAACACATTTTAATTTCAGTGAAATTTCATTGCAATTTTGTTGCGATGTCAAATTCGCATTTGCATTCGCTTGAAGTACTGTGAATGTCCATGTTTGAATCTTTTGAATCTTCAAACTGACACACCTTATTCTGAATTTAAGAAATGTATTCTTCAGATAAATATTAAAACTGTCGAATTATCAATCCTTTGGGTTTTTCATTGTTTGCATTTATGAACTTTTTTTAATTTCTGCCGACGACTGAAGCCCTGTCTACAAAACCTTGCATGTTCAGCCTACAGCGCATCAACCCTTCTGACTAATGAACCAGCCAACTATTCAACCTGTAGACTGTCAGGACCTCCAAAAACATCATATGTCTACATACTGCTGACAACATAATCATGTGCTGCATTCTAACCTCATCTTTCAGGTAGTCATACACATGAGCATCCTTTGCTAATGCAGCCCTATCCTTCTGCATTCGCTTAGCTCGACGGTCAAACACATTCATTACCCTCTCTTTGCTAGGACCTGAGGGATGCATGGAGCGCACTGGCAAAATGCCAGGTGACCAGGCTACCTCTTGGTTCTTTGACAGTTTCAAGTTAACTGAATGGATTTCTTCAGGCACACGTCTCATTAAGCATGATCTTTGCCGGTCAGATGGTGCTGTTAGAAGCCCTCGTTCGTGGAAAGACTGTGACATCCTGAGACATCTTGACAACAGCTGACCATNTCAACAGGTTCAATAATCTGAAGGTTCCGTAGTCTGAAGGTTCAATAGTCCAATGGTTCAACAGTCCACAGATACATGTACATGTATGTTTGTACAAAGCTTTGATAGTGCAAAAGTTTTTCGCCCGAGGTTCAACAGTTCGACAATAGATTTAACCTAAATAGTCTGAAGGTTTGATGTTACGAATCGACAAGATGGTTCACTAATCCCAATCAACAAGGATCAATTGGTCAAAAATAAAATAGAATTATTTGAGAGGGAAGCCAATTGCCAAATCCCATTTCGGACTTTTGAACACTGAGTGCCACTCAGACTCATGAAACTTCAGTTTGAGCCTTAAGACCAATTCATACTTCAGGTGAAAACAATCATAAGCGTGTGTACCACCGGTATTCACTTTGCGAATTCACAATAGTTGAACACATTTCAATTTCAGTGAAATTTCATTGCAAATTTGTTGCGATGTCAAATTTGCATTTGCATTTGCTTGAATTACTGTGAATGTCCATGTTTGAATTTTTTGAATCTTCAAACTGACACACCTTATTCTGAATTGAAAAAATGTAATCTTCAGATAAATATTAAAAACTGTCAGATTATCAATCCTTTGGATTTTTTCATTAATTGTTTGGATTTATGCACTTTTTTTTTTATTTCTGCAGACGACTGAAGCCCTGTCTACAAAACTTTGTATGTTCAGCCTACCGCGCATCAACCTTTCCGACTAATGAACCAGCCAACTATTCAACCTGTAGACTGTCAGGACCTCCAAACACATCATATGGTTACATACTGCTGACAACATTATCATGTGCTGCATTCTAACCTCATCTTTCAGGTAGTCATACACATGAGCATCCTTTGCTAATGCAGCCCTATCCTTCTGCACTCGCTTAGCTCGACGGTCAAACACATTCATTACCCTCTCTTTGCTAGGACCTGAGGGATGCATGGAGCGCACTGGCAAAATGCCAGGTGACCAGGCTACCTTTTGGTTCTTTGACAGTTTCAAGTTAACTGAATGGATTTCTTCAGGCACACGTCTCATTAAGCATGATCTTTGCCGGTCAGATGGTACTGTTAGAAGCCCTCGTTTGTGGAAAAACTGTGACATCCTGAGACATCTTGACAACAGCTGACCACNTGTCTCCCATCACAAAGTGATGGTACTGGCAACAGGGTGAGGTAGATGCCATCGTACCCAGACTGAGCTGGACAAGCCTTGTGTGCTGGAGCATCCTGGCCAGACTGTGTGCAGAGGACTGAACCTTCATCATTCCCATCTGAAATGAACAAATGTGAAGAGGCTAATGCAGATAAGTGTCAGTAGCTGGGCAGGCACAAATGTGAACAGCACAAACACTGTAAAGACTTTCTGACTGTACAGTGAAGTATTCAAAATCAAACTGCAGAGAAGGGAAGTCCTGATTGTAGACATTGAAACAGCACATTTTTGGAATTCTTAAAACAATTTAAACATTAACTCTCTTTTCCAGTTGGCATTTCAAGATCTTTTTTTCAGAAATGAGGAAATGAATTTAACTGTCACGATTTACATTGTAACATTCTTGCATACTACATGTACATTACAAGTGTTCAGCAGTGTCTACTGCAGTACCCAACACTAAAATGGCACCCTACACGTACGGGTACATCCTCCGGTGGTCCCCCCTCCAACACATCCAGTGACTCCATATTTAATCACCCCCATTTATCTTCTCTAAATTCTTTTCCAGTACATACACCCCACCCAGCAGCAAAAGGGTGTTGGAATTTGACAGGTGGAGTCAGCCTTCTAGAAAAATGCTCAGGGGGTTAGGGTTAATGGTATATTCCTTGTGCAAGTTGTCCAAATGAATCTCCTAATTATATGGACTTGGAGTGCGCGTGGTGAGCTGTGTACACACAGACTCTTGAACCATCAGAATTGATTAAACTGTCTCATATCCAGGTGCCAGGGCGTGATTTGGGCAGTGGGTATTATCACTTTTCAGCGGGCATCATCAAATGTTAATACAGGGTCAAGTTGCATGCAGCATTTATGAAGAATACATGTAAATAATTTTAAAAAGAAATAAAGAGACCTACAGGTTAATGTCCATCATTTCTTTTCTGTTTCCTTGCTCTGGAGGAATCTGGAATTGTAAAATGGTCTGATTCCTACTTCATGAATATGAAGTTGAAATAATTTTATTGGCACAGAACCAGACTAAGATTTGTTAAAAACCTGAAAAATAGAGTTGGTAACATTAAAAAAAATGTACAAATAAAAACATGAAAAAGTTTACGAATGTAACCAAGTAAAAAAACAGCTACTGCTCATGTACCCCCAGAGCTGTGGGATCCGACGTTTCACTGGTCGTCTAGCACCCGAACAGGGAGCTGGGAAGGGCTGATGGCCAGGTACACGAGCACGCTCAATGTGGCAGTTATCAATTCGATTTTTCTTCCTCATTGCTGAAAATATTCTCACTACACTTTATTAGTTCATCCAAAGTTAGTGATACTTAGTGAAAAGATACATGTAAATTAGGCCTACCATGATTGTATCAAGGCCATGTACATGTATTTATTATATAGGCCTAAGCCGACACTTTGACATCTGTCAAAACATTGTCATTGCCAATTTGCAAACCGAAAACTTCAAGTAATGCTTTGCTAATACATATAGGATAACCTTGCAGTTGGAGGTTGTGCACAAACATGACATTTATTGACAACGTAGCCAATCACAGCCATGGCATCAGCCCTTCCCATCGCTGGGCGACAAGCAAAATCCAACGTCCGCCCCAAATATCGGACGCCACAATTCTGGGGGTAGGAATACTGCACACGTGTCTAGCAAAACATCAATTTTAGGCCTAGTATAAATTTGCCGGTGCTGGGTAAATGCCTCGACATACCTGGGGCGGACGTCGGACCCCACAGTTCTGGGGGTAAGACGGATGGCAATGTCAAGCCTTATCGTAAATACTGCATGAGTGATTTTGCACAATGGTACAAAAGTATTGTGGGAAGGAAAAAGGGGCAATGTCTGCTCCCTTTTCCTTCCCACAATGCCTTTCTACCATTGTGTAAAATCACCCATGCAGTATTGGCGATAAGGATTATTGTCATTATAAATAAATACATGAGTAAGTTGGTCATGTTTTCCTGTCAGGCTCGTTTATGACATGCATGCTCTTATCTTTTGCAAAGAAATATTAATGATTTTAATGTTGGATCTTCAAACAAGAGGCAAAAACTAACTTTCTCTGGCTTGGCATACCCACACGACAGCTTACAGTTACACTACAGTCGCATCATTTGCGGCTACAAATCAACGTGAGCTAGCTAGCTACAACTTTATGTTAGTTATTTCTGTACATATAGTTTAGTAAAAAAACATTGGCCGGTCATTTTTGTTGACGCCCTCTTGCGGCAAATTCTAAAACCGTGTGCTACAAAAATAATTGGTTACATAATTTCCATCCCTCGGTTGTAATGAATTCATACTTTTATTAATAAAAGAACATTCCGTTTTCTAAAAAAAAGTAGAAAAATTCGACTGATTTTTAAAATTACTTTTATTCTAACTTTTAATGACGATTCTTGATTAAAAGGTGAAGTTGATCTTCTTTATGGGTACAGCATGTTTTGCAACAACTCACAATGACGGAGCATTGTCATTGCAGTACATAGAAAATAGACTTGAGGCCAAGTGAGCAAATGAGTGTACGCACAGTGCTAGTGTAGTCTAGTACGACGTGTAGCATTATATTACAGCGAAAGTGCAGTTAGCAGAGCGTACTTGAGAAGTTGAGCTTTCTTTGTTGCTGTTGTTGTTTGAAGTATGGTAAGTTAATTAGAAAAATTCCACTGCAGTCTTGACTTCACTGCTAAATGAGGCCTGACACTAATAACAGTTAGGCCTAGCCCTAAAGGAAGGAAAACAGACCCTCCATCATGCATGTCCAACATGATTAAGGCATCATCAACATGATGTAAAGTTTCCGGTTTCGAGTCCACTTTGACCCAAACCAACTGGGACCCATGCCAACTCGGACCCATGCCAACTCGTACCCACGACCAACTCGGACCCATGCCAACTCGGCCCCAATACTAACTCGGACCCGACCAACTCGGACCCACAACCAACTCAGACCCACTAACTCGGACCTACGAGCAACTTGGACCCACCCTGAGTCAACTCTGACCCAACCCCAGGAGCGTGATTAACTTCGTGGAAATTTTTGATTTTGTCCACTTTTCATTTTAGCATTTGGTAAATGACACTTTTGCACTGCATGCTGCCGAGATGTAACGTCCTCTCTACACAGGGAAACAGTGGCACAGGCTTCCCAGAATTTCCCAGTTTTCGGGTTTGAACAGGCATGGTGTTGAAAACCATACAGGACTAGATTTGATATCAGTGATGTCTTGGAACAAGTGATAAGTAACCGACGAGCGTCGTATTTTTATGGAGGCACATTTCCTTTGATGTCTTATTTGCCGCTTGTAATCTGGAATCTTAATCAGTTGTTAGCTTCCGAGGTACCGGCATGATTGACCACAAAGACTGATTTTGTCACCTTCCATTCTTGAAACCCTGTGATTGGGGAGTGGGAGCTTGGGACAACCAATGGGAGCAGCTTTTGGAGTGTGATTGACAGTACCAAATCATTGACGTCCTTTTTCCGAAGTTTTTTTGGCATTCCAGATCACCAGAAGAAATGGATGAAACTTTCAGCAAACAGCCCCAAAGTTTTTGTTCGAATAAAAAGCCACAGATAGGCCCTTCTGATGTACATAAGAGATGCTGCATGCGTACAACACATACTGCAGATATACATCAATATCACGAACATTAACCATTTATAGTGTCTCACAGTGTTATCCCCCACCTCACACCTCCACCTTGCCCCATTCTCCCCCCCCCCAATACCGGCAAAATTTAGGCAGATGGAGGAATTCATCCATACAAGCCTAACCTGACTGTCCAAATAACGCAAATAGGTTGGTAATTTCGAACAACACAAATCAAATCATTTTAAAATAAAACTGTGGAATATTTCCTATTGTCTTAAACTTGGAGACGGTTTTGAAGCGTCGTACATGTATTTTGTGACCCTACGTTTTTAAAACTGTTTTACAATAAGAAGTGCCATAATTACAAGGGATCATAGAATTATTTATATAAATCCCGAATTTGGGATTGATAGTTTCCAGTTCAGAGTATTTCTTTCACAAAAAGCCCCACAATGCGGGCCTATTTTGGATAGAGGCGTTTGGCTACATTCAGAGCTGAGTGCATAGTTTTACTACTATTAGGGGGGTATCTTCAGGAAAAGGCGAATAAAAATGTTCATAAAATTGAAACAAAAAGTGATCAATCTGGCCATGATCTTGAATTTTCAGCAAAAAAAAAAAATCTTGAATTTCCATCGAAAAAAATGAAGGCCAACCTCATCGCGAGGTTCAAGAGTCGGCGCTATTTCGGTGTACAGGCGCGCATTTGGTGTAGTGCAACCATAAGACTCAGTGGGTCCGCATTGACTCGAGGTGGGTCCGAGTTGGTGTGGGTCCGAGAGTTGCGGGTCCGAGTTAATATTGGGTCCGAGTTGGTCCTGGGTCCAAGTTGGAATGGGTCCGAGTTGGTTTGGGTCCGAGTTGACCTGATCCCTGCCCTAGGCTACATTATTCATTAGGCCTAAGCCTAACCAAAATTTTGAAGTGTGAGTAGTCCTAATGAAAGGAAATGACGTGTCATTGGAAAGAGCTTTGCAAATGCAACAAAATAACGCAAGAATCAGCTCAGTCAACAACGTTAAGAAATTTTGAGGAATTAAATATTGGAAGTGTAGGTCTATATTTTGCCGGTGACGGCAAAAGTTTTTTAAAGCTATTTTGCCGGGATGTGTTTCCGAATGTATATACATGTAATTTAGAAAATAGGGGCCCACCACCTTCAATCGAGCAATGCAGTAGCTCAATAGGATAAACCGAATGCCTGCGGAGCGTGGGGCTCCAGGTTCAAACCCCAATGGAGAAATTTTTCTCTGTTTTTAGTTTCTTTTTCCTAGCTCTGAATATTTTTCAAAGTAATAAAAATCTGAAATTTAATTAAGTTTACATCCAGTTCTTTTTATATTTCTTGGTTTTGGAGGTTTTTTTAAAGGGAATTGAAGTCTAAAATTTCATAGGTCTGATTTCTGCCCCCTACCGTACGTTAATGAAAGTGCAGAACCAAACAAGCAGATTGGCTATTTCTTTGCACAAAACAAGTATAGATTGGGCATAATAACACTTCAAATGTTACTTAAAATGTAATTTTGGATATAATTGCCTATATTAAAAGCACACAGTGTGCCAAAATTCCACTAAAAATTGCTTCGTGATGCGAGGCTTGCAATTAGCATGTCGGCAGAGTGTACAAAATATGGGCAATTTGATAAATTTCAACAAAAAATTCCACAAATCTAGATTAATATCTGTATCTAGTTTTCAAATTATAGGGTTATAATCTTATACTATCATATCTTCAGGTAAGCTCTTGATAAAATCCACAAACACAATTTTCAGATGATGCTCCAACCAGTTTCAAAACGTCTTACAAAAACATGAGTTCAGTAAAATCTTGATAGGTCAAAGCCTGTTGAATCGAAACTCTGTTTACCTCGACGTCTTTTTGTATTCCCCAAAAGAATAGGCCATTATGTACATGTACAATAAACTATCCATAACTGGAAACGTCAATACCACTAAAGCTGCTTATCTTGAAGTTTTGGCAGGCCAATTAAAAAAAAAAACACTGAAGAATGATGAATAAAAAGTGATGAAAGAACGCTTGCCTTCATGATGAGTCATTGCTGTCATGCGCACAACTTTTCTTTGATGAACCGAGCATGTTCACATGGGCTGCCATTGTCTGTGCATCTCCGTGCATTTCCAATGGAGTGAATACCAAGACCTAGCTCTAGACAAGAGTTTTGAATGCAGCCTAAATCAGGCACGAATGATGGGCCCTCGAGCGCGCGCTTTGTACAGATATCAGGTGACCCAGCACGGAAACCCTGACCGACTGGCCCGCGCGCTGCATTATGCGGTAACAGCCCGATCAAGCAAAGCAAATGAATGAATTCTCAAGACGTAGACACAGGTACCGGTACATAACTTCATTGGTTTATTGTTTATTAATGTACCACATAAAAATGTGTTTAAGGATGATTTTTGAGGAAAACTTTCATAGTAGGGATAGCTTTAAATCCACTTTGTGTTCGACTCAACTTGCAGGCCAACTGCCGTAAGCCAGTAAGGTTGCATGTGCACTTTCGATAACTCAAATGTCAGATAACTCGAGCTTTTCATCCATTCCCCTGAGCTTCGACTTATCGAGATTTTACTGTGCCATTGGTTTGTGCAGCAATATGTATCGCCAGTTGTCAGTATACGTTGTAAGTCTGGTTTCACATATCCCCACCATACTCTAGCAACGGGGGATAATCTGAAGGCATTGTTGTCGGACTGATTCAAAGACATGATGCACTGAAAACACCTTCATAGAATGCCCTCTATGATCCTCTATTTCACGTACCTACACATACATGTACCATTAAGCACATCACAGTCAGATGCCTGACCTCGAGTGCCTGAAAATGCATAGCAATAGGCCTAGGCCCTTAATCATCTATACACAATCATTTGATACCTAACATTGCCTAAACTAAACAACATCCTTCTTATTAAGTCATTGAATGCTGGTCAACTCGTATGTGTACCAACTTGTATGCGGCAACAAATTTTGGTCAAAGTACACGTAGGCCTGGGCAACATGTACTGAGAGAAAGTGTGTGAATTATGGTACCTCATGGATAGGCCCACATGTACAGTCAATTGAGTGACTGGCACAAACTTCTTAGGCCTGTGCCACTTTTATTAACTTGAAACGTTGGGAACAAATAAATCAGAGGGTACGTTCTCTTTACCTCCCATCATTCTATTGCAGACTTCTACCCATGTTCACTTGTAATCCCAGAAATGAACGGTGGAATTTGTTTCTATAAAGAGCAGTTTAAGGTGTCTTTTTCCACGGAATCCATTTGAGGTATTGCCAGGACATTGAGGGCAATAACAATATAGAAGACATGGTTTTCTATCATGGCTGTTTTTAGGTTGTTTACATAGGCCTACATTCAGAGCAGAAAAACTGCCCAGCTCTAAAACTTTGAAAAGTGTCTTACACAGGGATTAGTGTTGAAACTTACTCTCCGTCATTCACAAACTTGCATAGGCCCTATATTTTAAGCTACGGTACATGGACCTGTGCGATGCTGATGTTGATTGTACTGTCTTATTTTGAAGGGCCAGAACCAGTCAGGTGGACCAGGTGGAGGTCATGGCGACAAGAAAGATGACAAGGTAAAGTACACAGAAAGATCCTGCACTGAAAACAGGGACTACTGGGATCCTCTCTTCACTGAAATAGAAGAGATACAAGCTCAGAGGCCTGAGGGGATCCGTCATGACAGAAGAAAGTTTGGATTTAATTGAGTCATTGGTAAAAACGAGTGGCAAGTGTACGTGTTTGTAAGGTTGGGATACAAATGCTCTGGATAGCTATTACTGTCGGCTATAGAGTACCAAGTGAATATGTCATACACACTATTATGTAAGTGAAATGCATTAGCAAGAAAACCAGCCTGTGAACCCAACACATGTGTTTGTACTCCCATTTGTTTGCTCTACACTTTCTGGTTCAAAATGATTTCACACTTCCGTACTCTATTAACAGGCAGGTTGGTATTGAGTAACCATGAGAAGGGTCAGTCTCCACTCCATGCAGAAATCTGTATCTCTTATGCACCAACAGTTGCAGTGGTCCTAACTATATTTGGGTCACTCCTAACTATAGTTGGGATGATCCCAGCTGCAGCAGCGTAGATAGGAAATCCCAACTATTTGCACATGTACAATATAGGAAACTCTGCCGAATTCCATTAATTCATGAAAAAATACTAATCCCTAAGGGGTTAGAAATACGGATCAGATTGATTCCTGAAAAAACATGAATCCCTAAGGGGTTAGAAATACACATCAGATTAATTCCTGAAAAAACACGAATCCCTAAGGGGTTAGAAATACACATCAGATTAATTCTTATTCAGTTAGTGTTCAAGTTGTCATGTTTTGGTCAGTAAAAAGATGAATTTTCGGAGAAGTTTCCATCCAAAAATTGATCATCTCTTAAAAGCCCTCAAGCACTTTGCCATTTTGAGACAACATGATGCCTGCACACTGTTGCAAAACAGAGCCACTTTGAGGGTCCCAGTCTGTTGAACTTTAACAGAAATACAAGCTTGCAGTCCAATTCCTGCCTTCAACACCTTCATTTTTGTTTACAAACTCACACACAAAATATTCTTATTGCAGAGAATTCACTGTCTAACCGCCACGGCTAGGATTTCACAACTGTAGAGAAAGATTAACTGTGTTTTTTACTCTCATATTTGCCAGGATAAAAAGAAGAAATATGAACCTCCAGTACCAACAAGGGTTGGGAAAAGGCGGAGAAAGACAAAGGGTCCTGACTCCGCTAATAAACTTCCCAAAGGTAATGTAGCACTGAGTCATGAGCATTACATCCTAAGACTCAGGAAGGGAGGGCATTGAGACGCCTAACACA